GAGCTCTGGGAGCCTGGAGGCTGAACAGAGCTGGCTTTGGGAGAGGCAGAAATGATCTCCAGGCCTCTTCCAAGGGCACTGTCTCCAGGCTTTGGAAAGCTGTGAAATTTTGGGTTGTGTTGGAATTTGAAATTCCCTTTTGCTGCATTTTGGATCCTTTATCCTTGCCGAGGTTTCTGCATAAAAACACACGTTACCGACTCTGCTGAAGTGATTCTTGGCTCCAGGGTTTTTTTTTCCTGATCCACATCCCTGTGACAAGTAATTTCCAAGTGTGAAAATTGCTTTGATATCTTTATTCAGCACTTGCTCACTTAGGAAGTTGTTGCATAACCCAGGCAAGGGAAGAGGCTGGAGTTTTGGGAAAGGACTTTTCCAGTGCTGGGAAAGGGCAGCTTTCCAGTTGCTCCAGGAATGCTGGGCTGTGGGGCTGCACTTCCAGTTTTCAGGCTGTTTTGTGCCGTGATCAGAGCAGGTCCCTGCCAGCTCAGAAGCTCTGAAAATGTGTCCTGAAGTCGTTTTGCAAGTCAGGCCTTCCCTTGAGGGGAGGGAGCAAATCCTAATGAGCCCAAGGAGCTGCCTTTGAAGTGGCTTCCTGCTCGTCCCCCAGTCCCTGCAAAGGCTCTGTGAAGTTGTGTGAAGGAAAGAGCAATTTTTGTTTGGAGTTTGCACCATCATTTCCTCTCCCCAGAGGGTGCTTTTGCTGTTCAAGCAGCTCAGTGTTTGTGTTGACAATACTGAGATTCATTAGCTGCAAAAACAGGCATTTCTTGGAGGTGTCTGGGCAGGAAACGGCATTTTCTAGCAATGAAATAACTTGAGCTGTGTCTGAGAAAGGTGTGTGAGTGTTCAGGGTGCCTGCCTTGGGGCTAGGAAGTGGGGATAAAAATAAAGGGGTTATTATATTTACTCCCAAACGGTGGGACACTGTTCCTGTGCCTGAACAACAGAGCCAGTGCGAGGGACACGATCCAAGGGAAGGGCTGGGTTGGAAAAGGGAGATGATGCTCCCCTGTCCCACTTGGAGAAGGGAGATGATGCTCCCCTGTCCCACTTGGAGAAGGGAGATGATGCTCCCCTGTCCCACTTGGAGAAGGGAGATGATGCTCCTCCTGCCCCACTTGGAAAGGGAAATGCTTCCTCTGCCCCATATGGAGAAGGGAGATGATGTTCCTTTCCTGTCCCCCTTCAGAAAGGAGATGATGCTGCCCCTGCCCCACTTGGAGAAGGGAGATGTTCCCCTGCTTTGGTTGGAGAAGGGAGATGATCTTCCTCTCCTGCCCCACTTGGAGAAGGGAGATGCTCCTTTGCTTTGGCTGGAGGAGGGAGGTGCTCCCTTTTCCCACTTGGAGAAGGGAGATGATGCTCCCTCTGCCCCATTTGGGGAAGGGAGGTGCTCCCCTACCTTGGTTGAGGGAGGGAGATGCTCCCTCTGCCCCACCTGGAGAAGGGAGCTGATGTTCCTCTCCTGTCCCACTTGGAGAAGGGAGATGCTCCCTCTGCCCCATTTGGAGAAGGGACATGTTCCCCTGCTTTGGGTGGAGGAGGGAGGTGCTTCCTTTTCCCACTTGGAGAAGGGAGATGATGCTCCCTCTGCCCCACTTGGAGAAGGGAAATACTCCTCTGCTTTGGTTGGTGAAGGGAGATAATGATCCTCTCCTGCCCCACTTGGAGAAGGGAGATGCTCCCTCTGCCCCACCTGGAGAAGGGAGCTGATGATCCTCTCCTGTCCCACTTGGAGAAGGGATATGTTCCCCTGCTTTGGGTGGAGGAGGGAGGTGCTTCCTTTTCCCACTTGGAGAAGGGAGATGTTCCCCTGCTTTGGTTGGAGAAGGGAGATGATGATCCTCTCCTGCCCCACCTGGAGAAGGGAGATGATGCTCCCCTGGGATCACTCCACCCCCTGCTCTTTGCTGCACATTTGGGGTGTCCCCCCTTCCCTGTCCCTCCTGAGATCAGCCCTGGGCTGTTTCGTGGAGAATAATTCTGTTTGATCTACGAGAAGATGAATGTTGGGGAGGAGGGAATTAAAAAGAAATGATAAAAAAGAAGCAGCCCCAATCCCTCTTGGTTATTGAAGTGGGAAGGGAACACTTTGTCAGAGTGACACCAGATCCTTTATTAACCCTTTCTGGCCTGGAGGGTGTCAGCATTTGTATTATTACAGAATATCCTGAGCTGGAAGGGACCCACAAGGATCCAGTCCAAGCCCTGGCCCTGCACAGACACCCCAAATCCCACCCTGTCCCTGAGAGTGTTGTCCAGACACTTCAGGAGCTCTGGCAGCCTTGGGGCCATGACACTTCCCAGATCTTCTGAGAGACCAGGACCTCAGATCCACTCAATGAAAGGCTTTTTTTTATCCTAAATATCCTCCCCTAACCCTGCTCAGGTTTGTGCTTCCCTTGTGCCCTGTCCTGCCACTGAAAGGCTGCAATGCTTTTTCAGGGCAGCCTGGCAGGATTTTAGCAGGAATTTTTAGCAGGAATTGCCTGAAGGGAAAATACTGCTTTTCCTCAGGTCGGATCTTCATTCCTTTGCCCTCGAAGCGTTTGGGGAACAGAAGGCTGAGCTGCACCCTGGAACTTGCATTTTTGGGACCCCCATAGAGAAAGGTGCCTGTTGCTCTGTAGCTTTGAGAATCCATCAAGGGACAAAGCCCAGAATCTCTATTTTGTGAGCATCCTGCCAACCCTGAGGTGGTTTGTGTCCTCCAGAGAGCAAGACTGGAAAGATTTCGGGGACTGAGTGACACGTGCCAAAGTGCCTCTCAGTGGTTTTCCCCCTGTTAAGATATTTCTTGGACAATATTTTATATTAAGGTGCCTTTAATGGATCTCAGGCAATCCCAAGGAAACCCCAGGGCTGTGTGTTAGACCAGCCTGCCCTGATAACCTGGATTTCCTTTGCCACCTGATGGGCATCTGTGCTCCTGCCCCTTCCCGGGGCTGCTTCTCTGCACCCGGAGCTTTCTGGTGTCAAACAGATGCAGTTCCACACCCTTGACTCGCCCCCCCTTCACAGGGTTTGTTATTTGATTAACTCCTCTTCCTCTCCCCTTCCCCTGATGCCTGCAGGGGGGGAAATAAGTTGCTTTTCCTGGGAAAAACAGGGAGCAGAACATCAGCCTGCTTTGAGATGCCGCCGCTTCAGCTCGTTGAATTCTCGGGGTTTAAGCTCTTTATTTCTTGTTTTGCTGCACTTATAAGAGGCTCTCCTGGGGCTCTGTTGTACAACAAATACAAATAGAACATGAATAAAGCAATATGACTGCTGGCATTCCTCAAGGATTACTCCCAGAGAACATTTTGGGGCTGTTTAGTCATTTTGATGTGTCCCTTCTCCAGCTTTTCCTAGAAACACTTGAGAGATGTTGCCCTCTGGAAAGAGGCTTCTTCAGTCACAACAGTAAATTCTGATTTTTCTACCTGTTTCCTGTATCCATTTGAGTTTCTTTCCCTGCTTTCCCTCCCCAGTTGTGATTAATTAATACGGTTTTTGGGATAGTTCAGTTATGGAAGTGATGGATGCACAGTTATTCCTTGTCAGTGCTGCCAGGGGTCATGGGGCAGGTACTGCCTGGGGGGAAAACCCCCAAATTTGGTTAAAACCAGCCAAACCCAACCAACAAATACAAGACAATTGGTGTGAATTATGAAATATTTTAAAAAAATGAAATTAAGGAAAAATGAACCAAAACTAGCAAAAAATGAGCACAAATAAATGGGGTTAAGGGAAGGAAAGTGAGCAAAATTGGTTAAAGGTTATAAAAAGATATTAAAAAATATATAAGTTTGGTAAATATTGTTTAAAAGTACTAAAGAAACCCAGAATTGGTAAAATGGTTAGAAAGGACAAAAAGGCCAAATTAAAATCACAAGAGAATATAAAACTTAATAAAAAGAACCCAAAAGCCACAAAAAGTATAGAAAATGGATAGGATCCAGGCTGGGATCCAGGCTGGGCCCAGCTGAGGAGCCTGGAGCTGCTGTGGGTTTGTTGCTGTGGATTTGTTGAGGGCTCTTTCCCTCTGGCTGAACTGTCCCATTTTATAGTTCACAGTGTGTGGGGATGGCAAAGGAGTTAATCAAAGAGCACTTCTGCTGGGAAAATTGCTCTGTAAATAAATTCCACAAATAAGTGAAATAAAATTCCAAAAATAAGCTAAATAAAATTCCAAAAATAAGCGAACTAAAATTCCAAAAATAAGTGAAATAAAACATCAGTGGGAGCTGAAGGGGAAGGAAAAGCTGGAAACAAGCGGATGTCACGGCGAGAGTGGATTTGTTCCGTGGCCAAGTGCTTGTGTGGAGAGTCCTTTTGTCCCCAGGAGCTTCTCTGGAGAGCAGCCCTTGGAGGGCAAATCACAACAACTCCAAGGACAGAAGCTCTGGGAGTGCTGTCACTGCTCAGGTTGGATACTGGGCAAAATTCCTCCATGGAAAAGCTTGTCCAGCCCTGGCCCAGCTGCCCGGGGCAGTGGGGGAGTCCCCAAGCCTGGAGGGATTTAACACCTGTGGGTGTGGCCCTTGGGGACAGGGGCAGTGCTGGCCCGGGCAGTGCTGGGGAATGGCTGCATCTGATGATCTCACAGGGCTTTTCCAACCTGGATGAGTCCGTGTTCCTATGGAAGTCACCAGTGCCAGATGATCCAGCTGGAGGAACGAAAACATCTGTAACTAATGGGGACATTTTATACCTGGGGAAGCAAATCAAAGAGAGTTAAATTTCCTGGTTATTTTCCCATTAAGTTAAAGCTCCTGTAAAAACGAAGTGCCTGGGAAATCCAGGAGGAATATCAGTCATTTGGTGGGATAAGGTGGCTCAGCTCCGATGCTGGAGAGTAAATGCCTTGAAAGAACAAGTGAGGAGGCTCCTGCTTTGGTTCAATCTCTGCAATAAAGGAATGATTTAATCTCTTTTTTCCTCTTTGAAGTCCCAGGGCTGGAACATCCCTGGGCCAGAGTGGGATCCTAATGGGGTTTTTTCCTTGATTCCAGGAGCAGCGCACGGTTTACAGGCTGACCCTGGTGAAAGCTTGGAATGTGGATGAACTCAAAGCTTATGCTGAGCTGATATCCCTTGGAAAACCAGACTTCATCGAGGTCAAGGTGAGCTGCCTGGAGCTGTTCCCTTTTTTCCATCGTTTTTTTTCCAGTTTTTAAGTCCCCATTTCCCCCCCTCTTTAGTCTTCAGCTTTCTGAGTAAAACTCTCCTCAAGATTTCAGTGACCTGTAAGGAACTTTACTCTTCCTTTTAACGTTGGTTCATTGGTAATAATTAATAATCAGTATTTTCTAATGTGCATTTGGAGTAGGTTTCAATGGGCCACAAGTTAAGTTTTGTGCCAGCCAGCCTTGATTTCTGCCCAACACAATTTCTGTATTTCTCATGGAAACAGGGACTGATAAATAGATATTCCTTCTTCATGTCAACCAGCACTTTGAACAAATTAGTCTGGGACAAGCTGGCAGTTTGTGGTGTGATTCTTCCCATCCTGGTGTCAAATTTTGCCAGGGAAAAAGGTGATAATATCAGGTTTAGTGATGTGGTTGCTGTTTGTACACAGCAGGGCAGGAGGGGCTTTGTCATGGGGTTCATGGATTTAGGGAATGTAAAAAAAAAACGTTAAAAACTTGTAAAAAAGGCACCTTATAAATGCTCTGGGAAGAGCCACTCTCAGCACTGGCACCCAGCAGCTCAGTTACCTCTGGATCTGTGCAACTCCAACTCCTGGACTTTCCTTTCTCTTTTCCTTCTCCCCTTCATTTTTTAACCTTGTTTTTGAAGAAAAAGCCTGGACTTTGCTGCAGTGGAACAAACCCAAAGGCTTTGATCCATCAGTGGTGAGAGGTCTCTCTCTCTGAATGTGCTGCTGAAGTTGAGACCTTGATCCAAAATCAGGGTTTGGGGAAAGAAAACCCTCACTTTTACCTTGTGTATCAAACTGCTTCATATTCCTTGGGTCAAGCTGAGCAGGAGGAGTGTTCCTGTGGGAAGAACTCCTGATCTCCAGGATGCTGGAGGGCAGGGATGGAGCTGTGGGTGTTGGTGCTGCTGAGGCTGCTCTGCCCTGGGCACCAATTAGTGCAATGAGTTGGGTTTAAATCAGTGTTTCCAAACACTGATCCCCTGGGAATTCTGCAGGACAAACATCTGCCTCCTCCAAAGGCACAGGGCTGCTCTTCCCTCTCCCTCCCCTAGTCCTGCTTTCCCAGAGTTCAGCTCTTCCCTGGAAAAATCGTGCCTTGGACTGCCAGGGAAGTAGGTGAGGAAGGAGGTGAGTGAAAAATGTGCTCCTGGGGCTCTTCCAGCTGGGACAGGGGCATCTCTGGAACACTTCCCCCTGAGGCAGAGAGGGGTGGGAGACATTCCCAGGATCCATGTAGTGGGCTGGTGGCACTGAGGGCTCAGCCTTGCTCAGCTGCAGGGGGTCAGAGGCTGGCAGGACACACAGGGGGCTGCTGGGTGGGTTTGGGGCTTTTCTCGGGCTGATCCAAGTGGGAGTTTGCTGTTTCTTGGGGGTTTTTAATAATAAAAAGTATGTGCTGTCTAATGTCACCTAATTCCACTTGCAAGCAGGAATCCCAGAGTGGGTCAGGCTGGAAGGGCCCACAGTGGGGCATCTGGTCAAGCAAGGTCATCCCAGAGCACATGGCACAGGATTGTGTCCAGATGGTTCTGGAACATCCCCGGTGAGGGAGACTCCACACCCCCCTGGGCAGCCTGGGCAGTGCCTTGCTCTGAATCTCCTATTTCCAGAAACAGGACATATCCCTGAATTCCCTGCAGCTCATCCTGGCCAGGTGCATTCAAGCCAAGGGACATCAAGGACATTTTGTGCCTCAGTTTCCTTCTCTGGGAACAGTTTAGTGTCGTGCCTGTGCTCTGGTCCCAAAAGCTGGCATGTGGAAAGTCTCTTGTGTTTCTAATCCCAAGAGCTCAGGGACCCAGGGAAATTGGGGTTTAAGCCTTTTTAAAGGATGCAACATCCCTCTGCTGGCTGGAAGTGTTGGGAAAGCCTTCCCTTCCCAATCCCAGCTCGGATGAAAACCCACAGTCCAACGTTTCACAGCTCCAAGGTGAGCTGTGCACTCAAACCCCACAAACACTTTGCTCTTTGTTTCCAGCCTGGTGGAGGGAGGGTGATTTTCCCAAGCTCTCCAAAGCAAACAGGAGGTCTGACAGCAGCTCAGCCCCAGGAGAGAGGAGAGAGAGAACAAGAGCACAGCTAATTCCTCCTCAGCTCCAGCAGCAGGAAGGAGTTGTCAGTGCTCAGGAGAGGAAGGAGGCTCCATTTTTTTCCATGTAATTTAAGTTTTAAATAGAGCTGTGCTGCCCTGTGATCTGGGTTTGGAAAAGAAGAAAGGCAGGTTGATTCCCTGGAAGTGTGGATGTGCTGTTGTGCTCCAGCAGCAGTGCTGGAGCTCCTGTTCACACAGGGCAGGCTCAGGTTGGATCTCAGGCAAAGGTTCTTCCCCCAGAGGCTGGTTGGGCACTGCCCAGGCTCCCCAGGGCAGTGGGCACAGCCCCAAGGCTGCCAGAGCTCAGGGAGGGTTTGGCTGATCCTCTGGGGCACAGGGGGGGACTCTTGGGGCTGGGCCTGTGCAGGGCTGAGGGTTGGACTGATGATCCTTGGGGGTCCCTCCCAGCTCAGGAGATTGTGTGATTCTATGATCTTACCACAGTTTGAAGCAACTGGTCCACTCAGTGCTGGCCCAACACTGGGGTCTAAATGATCTTTCTGAAAAATCATGGATTTCCCTGGTGGCTTCCCTGGCTTTGCTTGAGACAGATCGTGTTTCAGTTGACCCAAAGCTGGATGAAGGGTCTTGCTCACAGATTTTTATCTGGGATGTTTTTATGGGAGAACAAGAGGGTTTTAAACAAGTTAAACAACCAAGTGTAACGTTCCAGGAGGTGGCACTTGATGCTCTGCAGAGGGAAGTAGCTCACACCAAATCCAGCATCATCCTATATTGGCCTTTTGTGTTTTCTGTGGCTTCATCATCACAGTTTTTCCCTTTTCATGGCCAGGAGTGAGGGACCTGTTCCAGAGTGACACTGAGAGTGGCTGATGATCAGTGAGGTTTGTTGCTGTGGGATGTGAGAGTCCAACAACTACCAACATCCCTGGAAGTGTCCAAGGCCAGGTTGGACAGGGCTTGGAGCAACCTGGGCTGGTGGAAGGTGTCCCTGCCCATGGCAGGGGGTGGAATGAGATGAGCTTTAAGGTCTCTTCCACCCCAAACCATTCCATGATTCTGTGATGGTACCACAGGACAGAAAGTCAGGGGTTCAATTCTGACCCAGATGAAGAGAGGAAGGGTTGAGTGTGTTCCAGTCTAGTCTCAGGGTTGCTGCTGGGATTCCCTTCCCTGCAAAAACTCAGACAAAAACTCCTGCCAGTGTGTCCCTGGCCTCTGGTCCAGCCCTGGCAGTTGTGGTGCTCACACAGCATTTGTCACCTGGGAATTGATATTGTCACTTGATATTTTTGATTAAAAGTGATTTCTTGTGTTCCTTTGAGAATGAAGTGTATCTGGCACGTGGACAGGGCTCAGCATTTTGTTTCCCAGAGCTCCCATGTGACAGGTTAAAAAGGCAACAACTGGGTCGTGCTCAAAGCAAATAAACAAACAATTAGTAGGAGACACTGCAAAGCATCTGCCAGAAAATGGGGCTGATCCCAGTGGGATTTCCTGGTTAAATACTGGAGATAAATGACGTCCATTTAAGATGAACTGAGCTAATCCAGTGTTGCTCCAAAGAGGCTCATGGGGTGGAGGGGATGGAGATTTGGAATCTCACCGGGCTTAATACTTGTTCTCATTTCCATGAGTGTCTGAACTCTGTGGGACCCTGTTCTCTTCCTTAAGCCAATGGTAAAGGGAGAATCAGGCCTGGGGATATTAAATATGCATCCAATGTATTTATTGCCTTAGTCTGTTCTAATGCCAGGGTGTCTCTGGCACAGTTGATGGTTGTATTTAAGGTCTAGAACGTGCAACTCATCGTCTTGAATGTTCCAAAAGCCAGAGGTTGGTGTTGCCATCCAGCATTTTTGTGTGCAGGGAAAGGAATGGAGCTCATGAAGGGGCTGGAGCAGCAGGAGCAGCTGAGGGAGCTGGGGGGGCTCAGCCTGGAGCAAAGGAGGCTCAGGGGGGACCTTCTGGCTCTGCAACTCCCTGACAGGAGGGGGGAGCTGGGGGGGGTCGGGCTCTGCTCCAGGGAACAAGGGACAGGAGGAGAGGGAACGGCCTCAGGCTGTGCCAGGGGAGGGTCAGGTTGGACATCAGGAGGAATTTCTCCATGGAAAGGGTTACCCAGCCCTGGCACAGCTGCCCAGGGAGGTGGTGGAGTCCCCATCCCTGGAGGGGTTTAACAGACATGGATGTGGCACTTGGGGACATCATTAGTGGTGGCCTTGGCAGTGCTGGGGGATGGTTGGACTCAATGATCTCAGAGGGGTTTTCAACCCTAATGACTCTGTTGATGACTCTAGGACTCTGTTGGATTCTCTGTATGAGAATCTAATGATTCTATTTTGCCATTTATTCCTTCTTAAACCAAAGGGGCAAAAGGATTTTCCTATGAAGTGTAGATGAGCCCTAAGGAACTCCTTTAGAAGTGAGAACTAAACCTGCCCTGGCACTCCAGAGCTGCTTCTGCAGAGCTGAGGGAGATCTCTGCTCTCTGTGACCAGGGACAGCAGCCAGGGAATGGCTGGAGCTGTGTCAGGGCAGGTCAGGTTGGATCTCAGGCAAAGGTTCTTCCCCCAGAGGCTGGTTGGGCACTGCCCAGGCTCCCCAGGGCAGTGGGCACAGCCCCAAGGCTGCCAGAGCTCAGGGAGGGTCTGGACAACACTCTCAGGGACAGGGTGGGGTTGTTGGGGTGTCTGTGCAGGGCCAGGAGTTGGTCCCTCCCAGCTCAGGATATTCCATGATTTTCTGATCCGGTTGCTGTGGTTGGCGCCAGAAGCAGAATGTTGTCCCTGGGGAAGGGTCTGTCCTTGCTAAATCATGGAATCATGGAATGGCTTGAGTTGGGGGAGACCTTAAAGACCATCCAGTCCCACCCCCTGCCCTGGGCAGGGACACCTTCCACTAGCCCAGGTTGCTCCAGCCTGGCCTTGGACACTTCCAGGGACGGGGCAGCCACAGCTTCTCTGGGAAAGTGAAGCTTCATCGTGCAGCTCACGGGAACAACAGGACTTT